CTCCTAGAAGCGCCCAGGTCTCTCCCAGGGGTTTGGTCTTGCACTTCCCCGAAGTGGCCAGAAGGTGTCGCTGTAGAGAACCCCAGCAGGTCCGCGCTGGCCGCGTTCCACTGTCCGAAGTTAATTTCAATGAAAGAAAAAGACCACATGATCTCACTCATTTATGGATAATTAAGACCATGATAAACTGATGGACAAAAATAGATACAGAGGCAGAGCAGCCTCGAACAGACGGTCAAACTACAGCGGGAAGGCCGGGGAGGGTTGGGGCGGGGGGAAGGAGTAAGAGATCAACCGAAGGACTTGTATGCATGCAGATAAGCATAACCAATGGACACAGACACTGGGGGTAGGGGAGGCCGGGGGAAGGTCAAGGAGAGAAAAAAAAGGGGGAGACATATGTAATACTCCTTGTAATACTTTAAGCAATAAAACGATTTAAAAAAGAAGTTAATTTCAAAACTCGAGGGAGTTGCCCGTTGCAAACGTACGTTTTATAAGAGGGGAAAACCCGTAAAAGCGCTGTGGTCAGGGTATCGGTTCGCTTTTTTCCTTATAAAGGAAGAGGGCGGATGTAAGAGCGTAACAGCGTGTTCCCAGGGACTTGGGGGGGAGGGTGTGAAGGGGGGGTCCCCAAGGGACTGGCCAGGGGGTTAAGGGGCTGGTCAGGGGAGTTCCAGTTCGAATACAGCCCCTCTGGGACCCCTACAGACCTGCCATCGACGTCAGAGTCCCCTCCCCCCTCCTGCCCCCAGGAGAATGTACTAGAACCCAGGCCTGGGGCCCCCGACCCCCAAAACTGCCCCCAAGTGACTCACATAATCCGCAGGGCTCCCGCCAGCCTTGCCCACGCCACCTCCTCGCCAAGCCTCGGTTTCCCCCACGGGGTGGCTCGCCTCCTCTCCGAGTTGTCAGAGGCCCAGGGCCACGAGGAAATGTATTGGAGAGAGGCTGGGGGGCGGGGGGGGGCACTGGCATGACCCTGGCCGTGGGTCAGCCAGCACAGCGCGGACACCGGCCCTCCCCTCGCTGCCACCGTGCCTCTCGGCGCCCCCATTTGTGCGTAGGTTTAAAAACACATTCAGTGTGCCCCGGCCGGTGTTGCTCAGTGGGTAGAGCGTCAGCCTGCGGACCGAAGGGTCCCGGGTTCAATTCCGGTCAAGGGCACGTACCTGGGTTGCAGGCTCCTCCCCGGCCCGGGGCCCTGGTCGGGGCGCGTGCAGGAGGCAACCCATCGATGTGTCTCTCACATCGATGTCTCTCTCTGCCTCTCCCTCTCTCCCTAAAAATCAATGGAAAAACACCCCCGGGCGAGGATCAGCAACCACAACAAACAGGTTAAGCGTGCCCCTCGCCGGGGCGAGCCCCTGCTGGCGGCAGGCGCTGTTCTGAGCCCTTTGGGTGTGCCAGCCCATCGCATCCCCACGTGCACCTGTGAGAGGCGCCCCACGCGCCTCTGAACTCGACAGGAGGGGAAGCTGAGGCACAGGACGGTGAACTGACCCGGCGTTGAACGACTGAGGCGGGGAGCCGGGCGGCCTGGGTGCGGG